GTGTGTGTGTGTGTGTGTGTGTGTGTGTGTGTGTGTGTGTGTGTGTGCATGGCTGTCAAAACTCCAAAAACAGGTCAAGTAACTCTGGGGAGGTCAGCCATTAATTAGAACACTTGCTAAGCAACCGGCCATTAAGCGAGGACCACTTGTATTTGGTTTGCCAGTCACATGGCCACGCCTGCCCAGTCACATGACCACAATGCCATACCAAGCCAGTCACATGACCACCAAGCCATGCCCACCCAGCAAGCCATGCCCACCCAGCAAGCCATGCCCACCCACATGACCACCAAGCCACACCCACAAATTAAGCCACGACCACAGAACCGGTTGTTAAAAAAAGTTGAATCCCACGCCTGCTCCAGGTTACTTACAGGAAGATTATTGATAATAGAATTATATTTTTCAAGAGACAGGGATATATAACTCATAATATATAATTCCCTTATAACATTAATATGTAGCATCCTACAGGCTACCGTATACTGATGACAAAGAATTGCCACCAATAGAACAAAGTGGAGAGGACTCTGATCTCATTAACATATTCTGGTCCCAGGGTGGGGACCTGGAAAATTATTCAACCCTTTGATTTGGTTCTTCATCATGATTGTTCCCAATTGTCAATAAATATTTAAAGATGAGTTTGTTTTGAACAAACTGTGTACCAATTTAAAAAAACCTGATGACTGATCAACTATATTGGTAGCTTTTCATATGATTAACATATACTTACTTTCTTACCATATTGTACATGGTATTCTCAACATTTTTAAGCCATTGTTCAACAGAACCTCTAATACGAACACCCCTATGAAAGAGAATTTAAAATTCAGTTTTTAGGAATAAAGACACATTTTAATGTTTAATATTTTTATAAATTAGTAAAAATACACCTCCAATGGCCAGTATCAATCATTTGAAAACAAAAATACATTTTGAGAATACAACTTTATTTTGTCTTGAAACTAAACCAAGCTAACAAATTAGTTTTCAGATTTGTGTCCAAGCTTGGGGGACTGTGAAACAGAGTCAATTTTTTAGCTATGTTGAGGGCACTATATGATTATCTATATTGCGCTATTGTGCTATGTCTGTCAGCTCTGAGATTCAGCTGCCAAGTATGAAAAGTGGGGTGGAGGAGTTGGAAAGTTAAGGTTATTCCATAAGTTGCATTAAGAAATTCCAGCTGCAGTTAATTGGTTCTCGTGATTAATGGAGTGTAGAAGTGGGAGGAGAGGTGGGTTTTGGTAACACACGGGAAAATGACTTTCACTTTTGGAAATGGCTTAGAAGTACCAGAGCTGTTCCTAATAAATCAGTTGGAGATTATATTGTCTCGGAGTGACTGATTACCACGGATAATTTCTGGATGCCTAACAATGTCTTTATTTGTTGTTTATTTTAATATTTAGTATTTTTAATGTTTTATCATGTACATGAGATGATTATATACATTTCATCAGATTGTTTTCCCCAGCTTTGTGAGGAATAATATCTGCATGGCTGGAGATTCACCTTCAAAGGTTAGCACAACAGCATGTAAAAGCAAGCTCTCTTTCCCTCTTTTATCATTTCTTCTTTCATCATGTTTTCTCTGTATTCTGAGCAGGTAGATAAATGCAAATGTGTTAAGGGAAGGAAGGAAGGAAGGAAGGAAGGAAGGAAGGAAGGAAGGAAGGAA